GTATAATATTCTTTCCATTAAATAAAGAGAATATCATTATATAGATTTTTTTTGAATTTTCTATATTGCATGAATGCAAGACAGGAAAGAAATATTGGAATGTAAAATATTCGTAAGTGTGTATTAGTACAGTGAACTTTTTAGCTCATGAATAAAAATTTAACTGATAAGAATAGTGAAATATACATGTTAGGTTTTATGTTATTATTTAGGTATTATTAGTAACAACTGCCTACATCTAATTTAGATTGGAAAGATATTTGAATCATTCAAATGATAAATAAAAATTGTGGTATGGCAAAATTTTTAATAATTTGTTAACCTYTTKTAGTAGCATACATGTGCCAGAGAAATAATGCCTGCTCTGGTATTGGCACAGYGACACTTTCAAATTTAAATTTATAAATTTTATAACAGCCTTTCTTAAATAAAATTGGCATAATTCCTAAAATAACAAAASCATTTTTTTATTGTTGTTGCTTATAGTATAAATAAAAGTAGTGCATATCTATAATAATTGCAATAGTTGAATTTGTATTTACGTTTTTACAAACTGAGGTCTTTTTGATTTCTATATTAATTCATAATGGTTCTATTGAAATTATTAAGAGGACATTATTATCCGCATGTCTCTGWCTTATAAGTGTTAAACAAATTAATGGCATGCTTATGATAATAATTTATAAAATTTTTATGAAATATATTGATTTTATTTGATGTAATACAAACTAAAGCATTATTTTATGAATTTTTACACGGTACTATTTATCAAATTTTTCTAATTCATTCTCAATATCTATCTCATATGTTCATATACATGACCATAGTTAAGTTACACACTTTCAACACATGTTTATTAATAATTCAAATATAAGAGATAATCATTAAAAAATGCAATTTTAGTATTAAATATGAATAGGTAATAATATTTTCATAAATTACTAATTTTTGAAAATGAAAATTGCATAATATACATTTTTAGAGCTAGTTTTATGTACATCTAATAGTAGTAAACTGTAATGATTTAATTTTTTGGTTTATGTGTTAAAATATAAATTTAATGTTTATATTATTAGTACTATGCTCAATACATATTAATTAATTAATGACAATAATTTAAGATAATTAYTAAAATATTTTGTATACTAAGTATATGTTTATGTTTTATTTATTTCAGGATTTAAACCTTTTGACCTAGAAGCTTGGTGGGGAAAACAAACCATCCAAMGATATCAACAACGTTCCTAATGTTATTATACTAATATACTGTATTGTATTTTTCAGTTAATTTTTTTCCCAATTATTTAATAAATAAAATGGCCTATGCCTAATATCTTGATACTGACAATTAAGTTATACATTATAATCTGCTATCAGTTATTAATTATCAGCCTCATGTAGGTATGTTCTAACAAAGAATGACATGCCATAATATT